AGCATTTTATACCTCATTAACTGTATGTTCTCTGAGCAGTTTACCAAAACACTTTTTAAACCATAAAATATAAAAACCAAATGGACTTAAAACCAAACACTGGTTAAAACAACGTTGAATCATCCAGAATGAGAATAAAACTATTAGTGCTCAGGGTCTAAAAAGCAATCAGAATTTTAAAGAACAAAATGAAAAACCTGCAAAAATAAAACTCTTTGGGCATTTCACAACCAAGATACTACTAAAGAAAGTGCTTTGTTATAATTATTGGTCACCTTTCCCCCAAATAGGAACCCAAAAATGGCGCTTATATTATAACCGACATAAAACTAAAACAGCAAAAAGCTTAAAAAAAACACATTCAAATTTATAAAGACAAGATTAACATTCTACGCACTGAAGCCATAGATCATTATAAAGCCCAATTGCCTTGTGGAATAGGAAACATTGTTGCCTGATGCTTAAAAATAGTGATTGTGCCAGGTGTGTCTCCCCGGAGAGAACGTTTCATAAGCTGGGAGCCACTACTGAGAAGCCCCCTTCTTATGTCAACACCCTCCATCAACTTCAGAGGTGCCCCACCCAGAAAGGGAGACAACCCCTTAGGTAATTTAGCCTCAAGCTGCAAAGCTTTAAATATTAATTCCAGCATTTTGAATTTGGCCAGATGGCAATATAGTGGAGAAAAATGATAATAATATCAGCTAGTTTCTGCTAATAATAAACATCTCTCAAACACATAAACAACACAGGGCTCAAATATCTGAAAGACTGCCTCCGACCCTGCACATATTCATAGGTGTTAAGACCAGGAGCAGGGCATCTCTTGATAACACCACCACTCCAAAAGCTCAGGAGGGAGGTGGCCTGGGAGAGGGAATGATCTGTGGCAGCTCCTAAGTTGTGGAATTTCTCCTCACAGAGAAAGCCTGGCACCTTCATTATGTAGTTACCGTTACATGCTGGAAATATACTTCTTTACCCTCACCTTTGACACCTGAGTTTTATATATTTTAGGACCCACTCTTTTGATTTTGTCTGAAAACTTGTTTAAATATTATATTTTTAAACACTTGTGACCCAACCTGGTGACAAAACAACAGAATATTCACCTACATTGTAAGCTTGTAAATGGTGGTGGCTGGTGCCAAGTAGGGCTGGTGGGCCGGAAGGCATGGAGACTAATTTCAACAAGCCGTCCGTATAAGGTGGAGAATGGTCCTCAGGCTGCCTGGAATACTGCTGGAAAGATAATATTTACTTTCTTTTTAAATGAGGCACTGACTTTCCCACACCATCCCCACATGGAGCTCAGACCACCTGGATACCACCTGGGATCAGGTACAGGCTATATCACCTGTGCTGGAACATTTCCTAGGAAAACAGTAGCTGCAGTCATATTAAAACCTCCTTGACTTCCTTCCTCCCCTCTGCCCCCACCAATGCCCTAACTTTCTCAAACTTGGGTCCCCAGCTGTTGTTGGACTACAGCTCCCATCATCCCTAGCTAGCAGGACTAGTAGTCAGGAATGATGGGAATTGTAGTCCTTCAGTTGGGGGACCTGAATTTGAGAAACACTGATCCTGATCCTCAACCCAAAACCTCTGTATATGCTGTAAGGGTGATATCAAGTTACGACATTTTTGATAACCTCAATTAATTTTCTTAGTAAACGATAAAGGCAGTAAAGAGCATTAAATTGACATTGAGACCCAAGTGGTGTTAGTAGTTTGCACTGCTTTTCATCAGCGTAAACTGGCACATCAGCTGCAATATGTGCTGGATTATGTCATGGTCTTTCATGCTCCAGTAATATTATTGAAGCTAGACTGCTGCCATAGACTGTATGCAGGGCTGCCTTCAAAGACCATTCAGAAACTGCAGTTAGTCCAGTTAGGCCATTGATTGGGTCCAGATGGCAAGATCATTATCTTTCTAACATTAAAACAGCTACACTGGCCCTTGGGCTCAAGTCAAGGGGCTGGTACTAGTCTTTAAAGCCCTGTGTACCTTCCTCCTCCTCCTTATTCTGCCCAATCACTCTAAGATACAATGGATGGCAACCAGAAGAAGGGCCTTTTAAGTTATGGCACCTTTCGAAGAACTCCTTACAAGGCTTGTTTTATCTTTCTGGGGTTTTTCCAAGCTTTTTAGATCTTTTGACTTCTCTTAAAGTCACTGCTAAGTTGGTGTTTCCCACCAACACTATTGGGCAGTGCTTGATGTGATGTATTCACACTGTGTGTTGTCCCCTCCCCTCAGTTGGTACTTCCCCACCCAGTGTAAATTCCAGAACCCAGAGGTCCATTGTAGGCATGTGGACAAGTTTTTTTGTATTTGTGTGCAGGCACCTTTTAATTGCTTTTGAAAGATGAGTCTCCCAATATATCAGATTTGCAGAAAACTGCAGCATTAAACAAACAAATGTGTGTTGCTTCAAGCCAGGCAAGAATTTGGAGTCACTCATGAAAGGGTGCCACTTCCTCCCCTTCCCTTTTCTTTCCCCACCTTCTGATCTGCAGGGAGAAATTCTATTTTAATTTTTAACACAGTTGTTTTGTGCAAGATCTCTTCTGCACAAAAGAACAGCTTTCATTAAAAAATATACCAGGAACCCAAATCCTTTCCTATCAGCTGATGGAAGCAAAATGGAAGTACAGTGGTACCTCAGGTTAAGTACTTAATTCATTCCGGTGGTCTGTACTTAACCTGAAACTGTTCTTAACCTGAAGCACCACTTTAGCTAATGGGGCCTCCCGCTGCCGAAGCACGATTTCTGTTCTCATCCTGAAGCAAAGTACTTAACCCGAGGTAATATTTCTGGGTTAGCAGAGTCTGTAACCTGAAGTGTATGTAACCTGAAGCGTATGTAACCTGAGGTACCACTGTATAGGTTTATAATTGAAACTGCAGAAACATCACCAGAACCTGCCAACACAGTGTGGGATGTTGGATTTACTTTCCAAGTTTAGTATGAAAAATTGTAGGCTGCCAGGTGGATGTGGAGAATGCAGCGCAGACAACACCAAAAAAAAAATCAAGCAGCTTCACATGCATGTTCAAAACCACATTAAACTCCTGTGTAGATAAGTGGAAACAGCTTGGCAGGTCATTGGCTGCAAAACAGAAGACACGTCTGAGGCTGTGTATACATCCCTGCTTACTCGTGCATCCCTGCTGCTGGTGTTTGAACCCGAGTGCACATGGTGCCAGCCACTATCCATATACATCCTGTAGTTTCTTGAGAAATATTGCTGTTTGATGCATTTTCCCTCAAACCAGCTTCCATGAGCTGTGTTTAAGCTGTGTGTACAATTGATACAGCCATTCTGCATGCACAGATGATAGCTTCATGGAATAGGAGTTCGGGGCAGGAAAACAAATCAGGAGGCAAAAAGGCAGCTTGAAACACAGTGAGGGAGAATGACATCACTAATGTGTACATAGCCTGAGAGACTTCTGAGAGGCTGGGCACAGACAATATTGTAAAGGTAATGAAGTAAACAAGTGGCAGACATGTATTACACACACCTTCTTAGTATGCTAGTCTGTTCTTGGTTTTATTGGTGTGGGCCAGGACAGTCTCATGGGGATACATGCATTGCACATCACTCCCTCTAATCGTGAACTCAGTTGATGAGTGCCAACACTGCAGCCTAAATGGGGCCACAGAGGAATGTATCAGCAAGCTTGGGAAAACCCCAGAGTTTGCAGTATTAAAGATCTTAAGGGGGGGGGGGTAACCTAAGGGGACAAAAAAAACCCCCAAACCAGCCCAGTCAGAACTGAGCATTCTCAACGGCCATCAAACGGTGGCTGATGGCTGGAAATGTTGGGGAACAGAAAACGAGCAGTGCTGGTAATGAAATAGAATATCCTGGAAGAAGGCAAAGAATCATAGAATTGTAGAGTTGGAAGAGACCCTGAGGTCTCTACTAGTCCATCTCCCTGCAATAAAGGAACAGGCAGGTGCCCCATACCGGGATCGAACCTGCAGCCTTGACGTTATCAGCACCACGCTCTTTCCAACTGCGTATGGCTGACTGGAATAATGAAAAGCAACACTCCACCCTGCAATCTTTTGTCGTAGGTCCCACTTGTATGCAGAAAGTGCAGAAACTTGGATGTGCTGGTGTCTTGCATTGCAGTTCCCCTCTTGCATTACAGATATATGCAGAAACTGTCTCCCACTGTGCACTCCACAGCTACTCCTAACACATGTGCAACGGGTGCCTTTTAGCAAAGGCAACTCCTGGGCTGCAACAATCCGGATGGAAGGTATGATTTCAAAACACTGGAAGCAGTCTGTCAGCCTCTAAATACAAAGAAAGCGCAGCCTGCTGCAATCTCCTCCCAGGAGAGTATATTTGCAAGCCTGCTCTCAGTAAGCCTCAGATGGGGTTGCCACCACCTTTTCTCTCTCTCCCCCTCCCCCCGGCAGAATTTATAACCTGCAGCATTTCCAGTGCCAGGCAAAAATTCAACAGGTCGCTTTTCTCAACAGAAAGGTGGCACTGCACCTGTTGGATGCCTGCCTGCCGTTAAAAGTCATAGAAGCCCTGTAAAAAAATATTTAAAAACTAGCGACATTACCGTCCACCTCCACCCTGCAAAAAAGACAGGTGGACCTGGCGGAGAATAAGTTGCAGCTTAGAGCTTCCTCCTTGGCAAGCAAAACGGGCAGAGCGCCAGAGGAAGTTTGAGCCCAGCCGTCTCCTTATGGAGGCCACGAAGTGGGTGAGGAGAGAGCGAAGCGGGCTCCTCTCGTGGAGCCTGGCATGGCGCCTCCCAGCCACCACGAGCAAGCCCGTGCTCAGGCGGTCCGGCGGGGCTGTGCTCTGGCGGGGTGTGTGTGTTTGTGTGCCTGTGTGTGTGTGTCAGCAGGACACGTCTCGGCTGCGCGGGACTGTGCAGCAAAAGGCGCCTCTCGCGCCTGCCCGCTCTCCCCCTCGAGTTCAGCTCCGGGCTGCTGCCGCCGGCGCCGCCTCAGCCGCGCGCGCTTCGAGCCACACACAGAGCCGAATGGGCTGGAAGGACTTCCTCCGTGCCAGTAAGACCCAGGGCCAGCGGCTGGAGAAGCGCCTGCGCACTGCAGGGGCGCCAGATTTGGCGGGAGGGGGAGTGTCCAAAAAGCCCTTTGTTTGATGGCATCTCTGTTTACAGAGTTTACTCTTTCATCTCAACCTGTTTCCTCCTCCCCTCTCCCGCTCCTGAGAACTTTGCGGCGGAGGAGCTCCTCTTAAGCGGCAAGAAACGCCAAGCACCTCTTCCAGCAGCATAAAGCCCTCTCCTCCCCCACCCGCCCACCTACTTTTCGCCTTGCCCTCAGTGACTAATGCAAGGATGGCCAGGAGACCTAGGCACAGGTAATAAGAACAAGAAGGGGCAGAAAAGCAAACCCCTTCGCAACGCCAATGCATTTCTGCCTGTCTCTCTCTCTCTCCTCTTTCTGTGTGTGCGTCTTGTCTTGTCGGGCTGCTTTTTTGGGGAGGGGGAAACTCTCGCAGTGTCAGAGAAGAAAAGAAACTCCCCAAGCTTCCAGGAGGGCGAGAGCTGCAGCAGTTCTTTTGCACACCTGTCAGAGCGTGCATTAAAACGGGTGCCTTGCAAGAAAGCGCAAGGCTGCATCAGCAAAAGTTTAGTAGCTTACTTTCCCCTTTGCAAGCCACATCCCTCCGCTCCCGGTTGCGAGTAACTTAGGAGTTAAGGAAGAATCGATTATTTGCAATGAGTCGTGCAGGTTTGTGCAGTGAAAGGCGTGTTTTGTGCGTCGTGCGCGAGAGGCTATTCCTCCCAGGCTACGCGTTGCACGTGTGGGCCCAAATAATTAAATAAAAAGGTTCAGGCCCGTTCCTGGCTTGCCAATGGGACCCGCTGCCTCCGGCGATCGCGACGGGCGTCCCCGTTCCGCGATCGTTTGGGGCCGGAGCAGGCGAGCAAGCAGCCCGCTGGAGGTAAGAAAAGGGTGTAAAAATGTCGGAGTGGCTTAGCTTGCAGGTATTTGATCCCTGCGTCCATTCGTCTCATTCATTCTCTGTGGTTGTGTCAGGTGGATGACAGGCTGCGTGGAAGGGAGACCCAGCTCCCTTTTTGTGAATTTGCCCGGCGTGGTGTTTCGGGACTCCAAACTCAGCTTCCTCCCGATAACCCCTCTTTTAAAAAATGCATATGTGTATGTATGTATGCTATATATGCATCCCAAAAGCAGTGCTGTGCAGTGTGGCATTCATTAATGCACACGCTGTTGTCCGCAAGCCCGAGCGTTCTTTGCAGCAACGTGTGGAACAACTTTGGCTGGAGAGGAGGATGCAATGGGAGGGAAGGGGAGAACGGGCTAGGGGTGCTTGTCAAGAACTGTCACTCGTTTTGCTAATGTTGACCCTGATCTTGCATGGCAAGAAAGACAAGGTCGCCTGTGTGTCTTATGGAGGAAGCCTCAGTCGTCCTGTGCTGGGAAACGTTGTGGCTGTGGGGTGGTGGAGGTGACTCTGGCTACCCGGCGCTGCTCCTTTCACCCTCCGCTGTTCGTGGCGTGCAGCAGCAAACTGGAAGGGCCAAGCAGCGCCTCGTGGTCTGCAGAAACGCTCACACAGTGCAGGATTGTTTTCCAATTATCTCGGGACAGTCGCTCCACGTGGAGCCAGAACTTGCCTTTCTCTTTCGCCGTGTAGCGCCAGCGATTATTCCCCTCCTCCCTTTCTGCCCGCGCTCTCTCCCCTCCTCCCTTCCTTTCCCCTTGGCACGGAAAGCAAAGTCCTAGCTGCTGGGGCTCACGCTGAAGTTTCCCTTTTCTCTTTCGGTTCTTGCTAATCTAATACGAAAAGAGAATAGGCAGGCGGCGAGAAAACGGGTCGGCGCGGGGCATGCGTGCGCTCGCGATTGTGTGCAGCCGAAGTTGCGAGTCTGGGTCACAAAAGCGACTTCGGCGGCCCTGGGTGACGCACCCGGGGTGCCCCGCTTCTGCCGAGCCCGGGCATTGCCGCCGCCGCCGCGCGCGCCGCGCCGCCCAACCAGTTCGCTTCCTTCCTGCAGAGCGGCAGCGCGGGGCGGGGGGAACTCGTGGGGTTTCTTCCCAGCTTTGCCTTGGCAAAGCGCAAAGTTTTGGGTTGGGAAGAGTTCGAACCGTGCCTTACAGAAAGAAAAAAAAACACTCAACGCCGGATTTTTATTTTTATTTTAATGATGGTAATAATACATCCTGTACAGGAAGGAGTTGTATTAGTGTGTGAAGCATGAATGGGACTCCGCAAGGCGGGGAGTTACGATCTCTTGCACTCCGGGCGGGGAGAACAGGCGATGATGGATCCCCTGTTGGCGAAGGAGGGCGAAAGAGAAAGGGGGGAAAAGCCCGGGGCTTGCTTCCCCTTGCAGCACCTGGCCGGAGGGCTTAGCGTGGTGAAATCGCGTCAGAGCAACGGCAGGGGCTGCCCTTCGGTTGGCTAGCGCGGTGCTCGCTCCCCCCCCCCCTTCAATCACAGTGTCAGCGATAGTAGTAATAGTAGTAGTAGTAGTAAAGCGCCAGCAACAAATCACTTCCTCCCCGCCCCTCCACCCCTCTCTCCTCCCTTCCTCTCGTTTGAATTGGTTGCACAATTTGGTTTCCTTGGCAAAAGAGTAGCGCTCGCGCGTGGAGCCTTTCAGCAAAACTTAGCAGGTGGGGTGCTCTTAACTCTTTAGGTTCCTTCGGCCTGACACGTCATCTCAAGCGAAGGTACACTGAGCAGTTTATTGCGCTGGAAGGAAACGAGAGAGGCAGATCTGGTCTGGATCCACTCTGTTTGAAATGTAAAAGATGAGCTGCAATGCTGCTAAACAGGATGCAGAGTTGGTTTGAAATTCGAGGCTGCAGTAAACTGGCCATTGAGATATTGCAAATGGGTCATTAGCAATAGGTTTTTCTAATACTGCATTGAAATACAGTGCAGTTTCTGAGTTTTATTGTAAACACATTGGGGGGTTTTTTTATTTTGCAAATTTTTAGGGACTGTCAACTATTATGTGGCATAAATAAATGAATAACTCGATTCTCCTTTCCAAAGGGTGAATGGGGCTTATAGACTTGCAATGACAACATTGCAACATTGCAAAAAAACAAAAAACTTGCATGCATGTGGAGAACCAGTCCTGCAATTCCAGGGGGTTGGACTACTAGGTGACCCTTGTGGTGCGTTCCAGCTCTACAGTTCTATGATTCATACATACAAACATACATAATTTTATTAGTATGCTGCCTTTCCATAGCTTAAACCATGCTCAAGTTGGCTTACAACATGAATAAGCCCCCGTTTATTCATTAAGCACATTAAGTTTCATTGCTTACTCCCAGCTGAAAGCAGTGGGAGTTATTGCTACTTAATATACATAGGATGGGGCTATTAGTCACTCAAATAGTGACCTAATCATAAAGGCCCAGATCTAGATAAAGGTAGTTATGACAGTTATATTGAAATCAGCAAAACTATACTCAAAGCTGAATTAAACTGTACTCTGGGTTTCAATGGGACAAACAGCACCAGCCTATGTTTGCATATCCAGAAGCAATGGCCACTGTGTTCATAAGATTCCAGATTCATGTCTTAGTATTCCGTAGGAACCCAGTCCAGCTGCTTAACTGGGGTTTATTAAACTACGATTCAAGGTTGCTTGCTGACCAAGGTTTGTAGCTGATTTATAAACTGTAGTTAACGTTAACCATAGCATTATGTGTGAACTCAGACCTCCACATTAACTGCAGTGATACCTCAGGTTAAGTACTTAATTCGTTCTGGAGGTCCGTTCTTAACCTGAAACTGTTCTTAACCTGAAGCACCACTTTAGCTAATGGGGCCTCCTGCTGCCGCTGTGCCGCCGGAGCCCGATTTCTGTTCCTATCCTGAAGCAAAGTTCTTAACCTGAAGCACTATTTCTGGGTTAGCGGAGTTTGTAACCTGAAGCGTATGTAACCTGAGGTACACTGTACAGTTAAGGAGCCGCCACTGCCTAAAATCTAAAGTGAAGAGCTGCTCTTCCTGGCTTGTGTTTTCTTTAATCTTGTCGAGGTTTTTTTTATTGACTTGCCTAAGATCCAAGACAAACCGCTGCCTTTCGGAAATTCCCCCCGGACGTCAATTCCGCCTTTGAAATGGCAGTCCTACCATTAGCCATGGCTTTGCTTTATGTGTCCTGTAATCATGCTAGCTCTGCCCCTTCCCCAGCGCTGTTCTTGTTGACCAACTTGTGGAGGGTGGCTGACTGCAACATGGAGCCTTCTATACTCAGATACGTTCCTTGAGTGTTTTGTAGCCCTAGAAAACAGGGTTCTAAAAGGTGCAGGGATTGAACACGCTCATCCCTTTGCATGTTTCCTGATCGCAGTCAGAGGAGGGCTATAGCATATGACTGGTGATGGGAGTTCTCAAGCTACTTTTTGAGAAAAGGAACACAGCAGAATATCTGTTATCAGTAGCAGCCTGTGTCGTGAGGCATAGCCATGGATCTTTCCTGACATCTCTGCAGCTTCCCTGGGTGGCAGCAAGATGAAGGCCGTGCAGGAACAACCAGTGGAACCAATCTGGCATTCCTGCCAGTTTGCCTGCACAGCTCCAATCTCACTGTCACCCTGCACAACCCTGTCCAAGTAAGCTCCATCTCACTGGTGTCAAGAGGGCAGCTGCACCTCATGGCCTGGCCCACTACTGTGCATTACTTATTTATTGCATCTGAACTCTGCTTCTTAGCCAGGATTGCCTCCCAAGGCAGCTTACAATTAAGCCCATAACAGGCACATAATGTAGAGATGTGTTGGTGTTGTGGAAGACAGACTGTTCTGGCCTCTGGTAATTGGTGATGCAATCGCTGGGGCTTGTAGCATGGAGATGCCTTTAAAGCTGTAGGACTGTACCCTCAGTTTTTAGTTACTTGCTTAGCACTTTTAGATTTTTTCAAAGCCCCGTAAAGTGACTCGCCATCATTTCATTTTTATGCATGGGAAATTGAGGCTGAGAACCGGGCATCTTACCCATGGCTATGAGTGATGGCCAAGCTGCATGACAAGCAGTCCTACACAATGTATCTGTTGCAGAAATGTGCCACTTTAGATTTATGGTTAGAGATTTAATACCAGGGCTCACCCAGATAACTTTCTCCCTGCATGTACAAAGCTAATGTGCCATGGTGAAAGGTTCTTCTAGGGTAAGCATGGGGAGCGTTGCAGGTGGTCAAGGATGATGGGAGTTGTAGTTCAGCAGTATTTGGAGGGCCAAAGATTCCCCACAACTGTTCTAGGGTATGGTAATGATTAATAAAACATACTCACCAGGGATAGATATGGGGAACCTGTGACTCTCCAGATGTTGCTGGAGTGCAGCTCCTATCCTCCTTGACCATTGGCCATCCTTCCTGGGATTGATAGGAGTTGGAATCCAACAACAACTGGAGGGCCACAGATTCCCCTCCCATGAAAACATGATGTTCAATGTACCTACATTTTGAAATTGAGCAGTCTGGTAGCAGGTAGTCTGCTGATGGTGTTTTTTATCTCCAATAATGTGCCCGAGTTTGAATCCAAATTTAAGGTAACCTAAGTTGAATTCTCCATAAACAACATAGTCTTAGCAAGGCTTACTTGATGAATGGCATGTAATAGTTTAGTGATGGGAGATCCTAAGACAGGGATCACCAGCCTAGCACCTGTGGGAACCATGGTGTCCATAAATGCTTTTAATGGTGCCCCTGGGAAGGTGCTCCAAACTCTGAACATACATACATACATACATACATACATACATTTATTTATTTATTTATTTATTTATTTATTTAAAGTCTCTAGCCGCCCTAGAATGAAAGTTGTGGGGCAAAATGTGCAGGTGCTTTCTGAGCAATTTCTGTGAAATGAAAGTGAGTGTGGTGTGGCCACCTTGTATCTTTTTCCTGGTACTGAGTCATATTCCCTGTTGCAGCAACACTGCAACAACATACAGCAACAACATTGGTGTGTGTTTGTTTGCCTGTATGTAAAATCAGTATTGTGTGACTTCCACAATCAGGACCTGCAGGACATAGCTGACTTCCTCTGCTTAAGCATAAGGGTATTGGGGATGTCCATCGCTCCAATTTTGTGTTGTGCCACACATACCCATATAGCAGTTATTTTGTGCTAGGCATCCCCAGGATGCTCTCAACATTTGAAATGTGCTCACTGGTCTAAAAAGGTTGGTGACCCTTGTCCTGACATATGATTTAAATAGGTGACTTAGGTTTTCATGAGCGACTCTCAATTTAAGCCAGATGTATCTCTGTAGTTTTCAAAATCGACTTCTGATTTTTCATATAGTAGTGTAATGTCTTTGGCATTCACCACATGCCATGTGTTCTACTGATAAAAACAATGATACAATTTTTATCTGTAGAACATCTGGCGTACGGTACATCCTTAAAGGTGAAAATTCCTTTCACCTTTATTTGGAAACTGTGTGGTAGCAGAAAAGAAAAGCTTGATACTACATCTACTAACATGCAACCCTCAAGGCACTGCTTCTGAGTAATCCTATTTACTCTCCACCTGTGTAACTAGCTGAGGCTCCTAGCCATTAGTTCCTGTTCCGGTGTTTGTCAGGATTGCTTTAATAAGCTCCCCCCCCCTCAAAACACATGCTTAAACTGCATCTGAGGTTTATCCCATTCACATATCAGCATAATTAGCCATAAATCATCCGTGTGTTCTTTTCTACTGCACTTACAGTTAGTATGCGGAGGTTTCAAAAGTTATGTTTATGTTATAAAGTTAGAAATAAAACATTGCACAATAGAAATGAAGTAAGGCCATTTGTGTTGCAACACACTTTGTTTTAACTTTACTGAACTCGATGGGTTAAACTGGATGTTTGTGATTGTTTCCACTCACTGCTGCCTTGGGAGAGATCTGGGTTCAATCAGCAGCTGAAAATACCTCAGGTGGACTAGAAACAAGACAACTATTTATAATTAAGTAATGTGACTGTTCACTTCAGTGCTGTGAAGTTTTCAGATTGTGCATTTGTCCTCAAGTTATAGTTGTAGTCGGCCATGAATTGTGGACTTGTTGGTACTGCTCTTCATTTACAAAACAGCCTGATCGCTTGATGTCTGTACATTTCATTTGTTTTGAGAAGCCTTTGCCCTCCGATGTTCATTGGGTTGCTGTTCTGTGCATTTGTGCAGCCTGAGCCTGTGCATGTTTATTTGGAAGCAAGTGCCACTGAATTCATTGGGACTTACTTCCTTGTAAGGGTGTTTGGAGTTGCAGCCTTACACCTAAGTAAGTGTGCAGGTGAAATGCAGCTTTCCTTGGCATCAGTCAAGTTGAACTCAGCACGGCTTCTGAATCAGTGTACATAGGATCAGGCTATTAGTCTTTTCATTATTTGACAAAGTTATAGTATTGAATGTATTTCCTTTTAAAAATACCCAGCCCTTCAGCATTTATCACCTGGGAGTTGAATATGCAAGCTTCTTTATCAACTGTGTGAAAGCATAGAGCATTCTTCAAGTGATCTGGCATAAGTTAAGGATTTTGAGTATGTACTTGGGCAAAGGACACAGCCTCCGTTCTCTTTATTGTCCTAAACATTGCGTTTTAATTTGAAACCATCATTGGTTGAACAGCTGCCAAGTGTGTAATTTGCCACTGATCTAACAGTATGAGCAGGTCTAAACATGCACAGTAATAAGAAAGTTGCCAACCTTTTGCTTGTATCTGTGGATACCAAAAACAGCAGAACCAGTTCAGAATACTAGGAACAGAATGTAGAACAAAATCTTGCAGTGCAAGTTTCCAAACAGTTACCCTCATAACCTTTTAGTTTTAGTTTTTTGCAAATCCTGTCATTCTAAACAGCTTTGCATTTTACCCTGTTTTGTCTTTGTGCTCTGTTTCTCCAGCATATACAGCAGCGATGATGAGGATGAAGACCTGGAGGTATATGATCATGATTATGATGGTCTGCTGCCCAAGGGTGGAAAACGCCATTTAGGGAAAACACGGTGGACCCGGGAAGAGGTAAACAGCTGAAAAGTTCAGGGCAGACAAATAGAAGTAGTCTTTCACACAATGCATAGATAGAATGATATAATTCAGTACTTCAGGATGTAGCAATGACCACTTAAGCTGGATGACTCTTTAAAAGGTGAATTACAACAAGCTTAAGTGAGGATAGGGTTATCAATGGCTGCTAGTTGGGATGGCTATATTATCTCCAGAAGGCACTATACTTCTGAATAGCAGTTGTTGGAGAACATGAGTGGGAGAGGGCCATTGTGCTCAGGTTCTACGTATGGGTTTCCCATGGGCATCTGGTTGGCCACTGAGAACAGAATGCTGGACTAGAAGGGCCTTCAGTCTGATCCAGGAAGACTCCTCTTATGTTTCTTATGAAAGGTGTGGATAAAACTCCTAGTCTCGGTTGTCTTCGGCTTCTCCTAAGTACAAGAATAGAAGCTGCTTCCTCTTAAGAAATGTGAGCCTAGGCCTGTTAAAATTCCTTGTCAACTGCCTTGAGTAGGCCTGTACCTAGAAAGGTAGCTTTGTTTTTTTTTGTTCTGAAAAAGTAAATTTGAAAGCAAAGGACAATAGCCAATTAAATTATCTGAAGATTTCTTTTTGGGGATGGAGTTTTATAGGTGACTTCTTGGGGGGAGAGGTGGAAAGATTGTTTGGGTTATATCCAAGGAAGCTTGCACAAACAAACAACATATTTTGAAGGGAAATCCTTATGACATGTATAATTAGTTTACTTCCGAAGCAGCTAGCCTGGTGGGGCGGAGTCTCAGTGCTAGCTTCCCGGCAGGTGTTTCGTTGCAATGCAGGTGCACCAATGGTGCCAATTGGGCACTCCTGCTGGAGCATCCACACTAGCTGCCTCGTCCCTCCACCTCCTGGTAAGCAGCAATGACGCACCTGTTGAGAAGCTAGCACTGAGCCTCTCCACCCCCACTCCTGAGAAAGCCACTTCTGGTCTACTTCATGCCTTGCTACTCAGTAGTTGCTCTTATATGGTCATCGGATATTTTTGATGTAGCTATTATGGCATGGAATTGGAACAGATGAGGGACACCCAGGAGCAATGAAAGTAGGAAAAGGAAGTATGAGAAGCATTAATAGAGTCGTATTTTCTCCCCCGGTTGGGGACGCGGGTGGCGCTGTGGGTAAAAGCCTCAGCGCCTAGGGCTTGCTGATCGTAAGGTCGGCGGTTCGAATCCCCGCGGCGGCGTGCGCCCCCGTCGTTCGGTCCCAGCGCCTGCCAACCTAGCAGTTCGAAAGCACCCCCGGGTGCAAGTAGATAAATAGGGACCGCTTACAAGCAGGAAGGTAAACAGCGTTTCCGTGTGCGGCTCTGGCTCGCTAGAGCAGCGATGTCACGCTGGCCACGTGACCCGTAAGTGTCTCCGGACAGTGCTGGCCCCCGGCCTCTTCAGTGAGATGGGCGCACAACCCTAGAGTCTGTCAAGACTGGCCCGTACGGGCAGGGGTACCTTTACCTTATTTTCTCTCCCACTTGGGAGCACAATGTGCGCACACACACACACACCACCAACCCTTCTTCATTGAAGGCAGCAGAGCAGCAATCACTCCATTGACTTATGTGGAAAGGGGAAGGTACTGGGATGGGGCACACCCACAGTTCCTTTTGTGTTATAAGGCCGTATTTGTAGCCATAGCACAAGACCTATATGTGGCTAACTGGTCAACTATGCCATACAAGTTTGCAAACTGGCATGCTCCTGAGCTGAAGTTATCCAGGGCCATTGAAAACATCACTAAACATTCTTTGCTCTATAAACTTATATAGGGCTGGGTTGCACTGTTTCATAAGGTCAGGTCATAAAGTAATGAAGCGTGGACATACTAAGGTTGCCCTTTGGCTCTCTTTGGTTGATATCAGTGTCATCGCTTCATGTTTCTAATGGTTGCTGCATGAGGAACCAAGATAGCAATGCCTTACAGCAGATAGATGAGCAGAAACTATGGATCCTTTCTAGATAGGCCATCAACCTCCAGGCTTTGCAAGAGAAGTGATAAGGGGGTTGCTTCCATTCTCATACTCTTTCTGTGGTCACTAATGAGAAAGAAATATATAACGAGACTGTTAAAGAGTTGGGAACTACTAATTTAGTCAGGAGCTATTAAACAAAAGTGTTGAAAGGCTGATCCCTTACAAAAGACCCCAGAACCATTTGTTTAATATACTCCAAACCAGTAGGACCCACTGGAGTTTCTGAACAACCGAACTGCATTTCTAGAACAGCAGCTCTTAAGATACTGAAGAACTATGACTATCTACCACCCAGTCTAGTTTTCAATATGTTATCTCCTTTTTGGAAAGCAATCAAGCACAGTGCAACCTGGTCTCATTACTTTCAATAGAGATTACTAATTGGTAAATGTGAATAGGATAGCAGTCTAAATGTGAGAGTTGAATACACAGAACTAATTCCCACTGAGTGGGCTTTCTCCCAGGTAAGTGAATATAAGCCTCAGTTATTTTTTCACACTCTGTCACTCATATATTTATTTTCAGCATAAGCTTCTGTACTGGGGAAAAGAATCACTTGGCAGTATCGAGAATCATTATTTAAGCTTCCATTATTTCTGTGCAGTTCAATTTTCATAAAGCTGTTTTGGCTTGATTAACATCATGCACTGATGTTGCTATGTAAACATTAGCAGGTCATTTCCCAAATGCTTTTGTAAAAGCTTAGACTGTTTGTTGCAGAACTCTCATTCCTCCTAAATAGCCTTTGGGGCCTCCTGTTATGCTTCCTAAACTTTCAGTAAAGGTTATTGAGACAAGACAGCAGTTCCCAAATAATTTTGCTGGATTAATGCATTTGTTGTCAGTGAGAATACTCAGAAATAGTATGGAGATTGCTGTCTTGCTGCCCAATCAACAAATTAATTAAGCCAGTACTTGAATATAATGGCAGTGGCGGGTGGGTGTCAATTAAAACATTACACCCCAACTGCAAGTGCAAAGTGTTCCTTCATGGTAGTGCTCCATGCGGTTGGTTGGCATAATGTTGGAAACCCCATTGGCCCAATTACAAAGAGTGTTGAACTTCAATGGTGAAAGCTGCATTTGAATTCCTGTTCGGCCATGGAGTTCATTGAGTGGCTTTTGGCAAGTCGCTGTGGGTGAAACTGCATGTTACAATAATGATGGGGCTGCTGCCAAGACCACCCATACATTGAATTCCCCCCTTGCAGGACATTTAGTGAAAGTTGCATTATCTCACTGTGTGTTTCCCTGCCACCTTTAGCCCATCATACGGGGTAGGGAATAGTAACATCAGAACGCAAGGTACATTTTATTACATGCAAAGAAAAGGACAAGCTCAACACAGGGCTGCTCTTTTCAGTGTCATTGCAATGTGTCGTTCTCAGCCTAGCTTAGTTTGCTGTGTTGTTGTGAATACAAAATGTACATCAATATGTGCTAGTTGAAGGGAGGATGGAACAGAATGTTGCTGTGCAGAATTTCCCTATTCGTTGTGTAAGGTTCCTATATAACGATCATGTCATCCAAGATAATGCTTTATGTTCATTCACGGCATGGCCACTAATGGCACATCAGTGGTTGGGTGGTGCACTAAGTAGTTCTAAGTGAAGAGTATAGTAGGTCATACATTAGATTCAAAAATCTGGTGGAATTGGCTGTATTAGCCTGTGATGCTGAATAAATGTACGTAGGATTGTGGCCTCATTTTATTAAGCTACTAGGAAGGGACTTTTGAAGAAGGCTGATCAGTTACAGTGGAATCTTGGTTTTTGACTCCTGAAACCATTCGAAAAGCAAGGGGCAGCTTCTGATTGGCTGCAGGAGCTTCCTGCACTCAAGCGGAAGCCGCATCGGACATTCAGCTACCGAAAAACATTTGTAAACCGGAACACTTCTGGGTTTTTGGCGTTCAGGAGCCAATTTGTTCGTCAACTAAGCCGTTTGAGAACCAAAGTTCCGCTGTAATTCAACTTTGCCTTTTCTTCCATACAGTATACTGACTTTTTAGTCTTCTGGTGCGGGCTCACAATTCCAAAATAGCAAATGACACACTATTTCAGTGAAGTTGCAAAATCTTGCTAATAGCTCATAAAAAGTGTGCAAGATGCCAAGAACAACCAAACTAGAGATTTCCTTTTCCTTGTTGTCAGATGTTATGACAATCAGCAATGCATAGTATTGACTTTTAAAACACGCACATGCACACACACAAGTCAGATGAACTTAAATCACCTTTTCTTGAAACGTATTAGGATGAGAAGCTAAAGAAACTTGTGGAGCAGAATGGCACAGAAGATTGGAAAGTTATTGCCAATTTCCTTCCTGTAAGTAGGCCTCGTTTTCTGTTTATAACCACACATTTATCAGTGGGTGAAAGCAGGGGAGGTTGTTTCATAATTACATATGGGGACTTAATACAATTATAGCAGTTTGGGAGGCTTGCAGAACTTCGCCATGTATACCCAACATTTAAATGTCTTTCTTTCACTTCTCATGAAATGGAGGAAGGAGAAATGTTAAAAGCCTTGGGGGGGATTTTATATACAAACAGATGGTTGGTACATCATCTATCTATCCGTCTCTCAATGGAACAAAAAAGCATCAATGCAGAATAGAAACTGGCTTTGATCCGTAGTTGCTATTGCTTATTAAGTGTGTGGTTCTGCTGGTAATTTCTGACACACTTGTTGAGAAGCAGCAGGTAAAGTTTATTATATATTCATTTTTAACGAATAGCTGGTAGGTTTGTATGCAACTATGGTATCTGTCTGCTGTCTACAATCAAAAATTAATACGAGAAGGCGCTGCAAGGTTTTTGTAGCTGAAGCTGTCATAGTGTCCAACTCTTCCTTTGGAAGATCCCCATCTCAGTTTTACCTCTATCAGTGGCCTGATCCTTGCTTGTTTTGATGGTGATGTAAGCAATAAAATGTAAAGATTTTACTTGCAGAGGCAGCATGCGTGCTGAATAATAGTGTAAATACTGCAATATCATGACTCAGAATTGCATCTGTGGGGCATTTGTTAACAAAGTTGCATTTTTTCACGCAGCTGTAGCAATTATGTAATAATTTGTTGGGGGTTTTTTGGCTTGTTAGAATCGGACAGATGTACAGTGCCAGCATCGGTGGCAGAAGGTACTAAATCCAGAACTTATTAAGGGCCCGTGGACTAAAGAAGAAGATCAGCGAGTAAGTTAACAATATTGTTTTGATCTAATCGTTCCATCAGCATTAAATGTTGGGTGCAGCCAACCTACATCCACTTTGATGAAATAATACCTGTAATTTAAGTTATTTAATAATTGATCTTTACAGCCCCTAACATTTCTTCCAGCAGCACTTTAAATAATTGCTTAACTGTCCACTTGAGAGGTGGTGTGATACAGAATGGTTGAGAGACTGAGCTGCGAACCAGGAAGTCCCTGACTCGAGTCTCAGTTATTATCTCATTAGATGGCCTTAGGCAAGCCTCATGTTTTTGAGCCCAAATCCTCCCTCCCATCTTTGGGGAATACTTTGGGAATAATTATACAAGAGGTGATTCCAGGCATCCTTATTTGTTTGTGGGGAAGTTAGATTATGTGGAATATTGATTGATAACTAATTCTAATCTGTGGGAACATTGTATGTTGTGTCCAGTGTGCTTTCCCCCTTTACTTTCCTTATCACAAAAGTCTGGGGTTTTTTTGTGGGGGAGTGGATTTGTTGTGCAAGAATCTCACCCAAAATTTGTGATAGTCTGGAAATGTCATGGGGCAACTTTAATGACAAGACAATTAATAGGATGCCACCTTTTCCTACTCAGCTGCCTTCTTTAGTCCCTGATGAGTTTTGCACTTGTTTTTATTCCCATTTTTCTTCCCGGTTAATAATGCTGGCCTATCTAAATTCCTTATGCACATCACAGCCCTGATCTTCCATGAAACATAAGATAATGATTGTGATTTGGTCCCATAGCATAACACCTGAAAGTTAGAGGTGGCACTTTACTTGTTTTTGTGCTTGTTTGAAGGTGATAGAGCTGGTGCAGAAATATGGTCCCAAGCGCTGGTCTGTCATCGCTAAGCACTTGAAAGGAAGGATCGGGAAACAATGCAGAGAGCGATGGCACAACCATTTGAATCCAGAAGTTAAAAAAACCTCCTGGACAGAGGAAGAAGATAGAATTATTTACCAAGCACACAAGAGACTGGGAAACAGATGGGCAGAAATTGCAAAGTTGCTTCCTGGACGGTAATGACAGAGAGTAGCACTTTAAAGGAAAGACTAGGGTGGAGATGGGAGATGAGTGGATGAAACTCTGTATTTTGTCGTCTTAGCAGAACATATGCAATACTCCTAATGAATGTAAGTGAGTGCATGGCCAAGCTGATGAGATCAAAGTGTTGTGCATTATTTTATAAGTTGATACAAAGCTACAGCAACCAACTATTAGCTTTAATTGTAGGAGAAGTTTTCTAAATTGTATCTGATCAATAGAACTGGCAGTCTCAGGAAGCTATTGGGGGTCTTCTGTAAAATAACATCTCAGATGATTTAAGGCTGTGTAGATCTCCAGTGACACAGAAGACCTTTCCTGATAATGTTACAACGTCTTCATATGTTACAAAGATGGAAGGAAATATGTGTTAGACTCATTTTTACCATAGTATGAATTGCGTGGGGCGTGGGACTTGCTGATCTCCCATATGGAGAGTTCTACAATCCCTCTATGGAGATCCATGTCCTACTACTCCTGTAGAAGTGAGGAAAGAGGAAGCATAACTGACCTGGCACTTCTTCTTTTTACAGTTCTGCAATGAACAGAAACTTTATTTTAGATAATATTAAAGCATAATTATGAAACCATTCTAAATTAATAATGTAGTAAGATAATATTTATAATTATTACTCAAGCACCTAAACAGCTTTTGGAGAATGTCACACACAGACACAAATCTGTTTTTTTCTTTGAGTAACACCATATTCTTCCTTTCACTGAGTATGAACACCATGGTCACATAAGCCCTAACAAGCTGTGTCCCAAGACTGGAAGTTAACTGAGGTGAAAACTAAATATGACGCAGGAGATCTGTGATCTGGATCTCCCACTTCAGGCCTTGGAAATCCTTTGAAGATAAGGAAAATGGTGCTCTAGGAGAGAGTGATTAACTCTTGCTTCATCTTGCCCTTTCCCAGATCTATACTCCCTCACTCCCTAAACTTAGTAGATCCGCCAGGGTGGGTCAGGATAGAACATTGCACTCTCATGCTTTTTAGGCCTACAGAACTTTCCAGCATCAAGGACTTCTGCATACCTCCCTTGGATGAATTCCAATCGTCTTGGGGGAACCACAAATAAAGCCCAAACCCAAGAAGAGCAAAAATGTTTGCTTTGTTGACTGTAGAACTGGTTTCGATTTTCTAGCATGTTTGCTTGGAGGATGACCGCTTTGCATTGCCTCCATGCAGCAGTGGAATGCTACAGAGTTCCTTTTGGAATGGCTGTATTTGAAAAGCGTGAAGGGCCTAGCGCGTCAAGGAATCAGGAGGTTGTGCCTGTTGCGTCACATGTTAGGGGATGAGTGATTGGAGTGATTAATTTATCCAGGTGGAACATAATGTAAGACAGTGTTTCCCAACCTTTTTTGGGCAAAGGCACACTTGTTTCATGAAAAAAATCTCGAGGCACACCACCATTACAGCCCCGTGACGTCAGCTCGCAGCGTCACGCCGGGAGGGACATCAATTTTTTAATTTTTCCCGCGGCACACCAGGCAACATCTCGTGGCACACTAGTGTGCCGCGGAACAGTGGTTGGGAAACACTGATGTAAGAGAAGGGGCAGGAGGAGTTGATTTCAGAACTGAAATCAGGAATTCAAGGAGACTTGTTTGTTTTGTATGTCACTGCTTTACCTATTTAATTTTTGCTGCCAGTTCTAGAAGCAGGGCACTAATGAAATACAGTGTGGATAGTTGCATATTTTGACAACAGTAAAAACCCGCCTGTTGTGAGCTTGTAGCAGAAGTTCAGCCCATGTGAGCCGAATGACATATTCCAATATAAGCACTATTAAAGTGCAAAGGAGATTCCTAGGTGACCATGGTAATGTTACATGTTAACTGCTGTCTCCTGCCAGTTAACCTTAACCATGTCTGAGCATTTGATTTCATGTTCTTCTTCTTTATATGCCTGTGTTCTTGTGCAGAACTGATAATGCTATCAAGAACCACTGGAATTCTACGATGCGGCGAAAGGTTGAACAGGAAGGTTATCTTCAGGAGTCTTCCAAAGTCAGCCAGCCTTCAGTAGCCACAAGTTTTCCAAAGAACAACCATTTAATGGGCTTTACCCACACCCCACCTTCTGTGCAGCTGCCAACCTCCACCCCGACCCCAGCCACCAGTGACTACTCCTATTACCACATTTCTGAGACACAGAATGTAAGCTGATTCAATCGGTTGACAGCTAGGTCTCCCCATCATTGAGATATTGTAACTGCCATGCATGACCATGGCAGGAATGGAGAAAGGGAGGCTAATATGATTGATATATTGCTATATCTTCCTTTTGCACGAGGTTCATTGTGGTCTCTCATCTGAGGATCTAATCAAGTCCACATTTACGTAGCTTTAGCCACATTGCAGCATCAGCAGTGCCCAGACCACCTGCTAGGGCTGGGAAGGATGCAAGCTAGAAATTGTCTGTAAGAGGCATAATGGCTGCGGTGCTAACCCCACTTACCTGGCTGTAAGCTCCATTGAATTCATTGGTACTTACCTCTGAGTAGGCATGGTTAGAATTGCAGCCATAGGGTTGGCCTCACTCTTTTTTAAAACAATGGATGAGGTGTGACTGCTTGGAATTAGACCCACTGAAGTCAGTGGACTTGAGTAATGTAAATCCATTTATTTCAGTGGCTCTACTCTTCACTATAGTTACATTAGATATCATTCAATGTTTTTAATTTTACAACTATGCGCTCCATAAAAAAAAGGAATTCAGATAACAGTGATAGGCTTATGTAAGATAGATTGACACGCCTATTCTCATATTTTTGTGTGAAAGCATTTTTAATGTCTTAATTTTGACAAGTAGAAAGTAATAATTGAGTAGTTGTACTTCCTCTGTGGGGTCTAAACCTGTAGCATTCTCCTGTTCTAGACTTCCACTGGTTTACAATTTGGCTGCAGGTGAAGTAAGTAGTTATAGCTGATAAGTTATATAGTTATAAGTAATTATAAACTCATAGTCATTATTAAGTAGATTATATGAATCTAAGATTATATGGATCTAGTTTGAACTAGATAGCCCTCAGGATCCCTTCCAACTCTATAATTCTATGATTCTATTATGTTTGTAATGTTATTATTTTATTACAGAATATAACAGTCCATATGATATATGGCAAAAATTGATAATACAGAGAGAACCCACTCAGAATTTTGCCAGTAAATACAAAATGTCAAACACTGGACCAGTTGGTTGCAATTTAAACACGTCTTCCTTATCTTTTTAATTTTTTTATTTGTCACAGCATCTGAGGTGTCTGCTTCACAGTATTTAGCTTTTCTTGATAGCAGGAACTCAAAGGGACATTCTTTCATGAGACATTGTAATTTTTCGTTGTGGGCTGCCCTGAGATCTACAGATAAAGGGCAGATCCTTAATTAATTAATTAAGTGGAAGCACATGTAGAATAACTTGGTATCCAATTTTTGTCAGGCTTTGTTACTGATTGGTGGATTATAACACAGACTGCTTTCTCTATATTCTTCCTCATGTTTAGATGCCTGCGGAAGCCATACATGCAATGGATCTGATGGTCTGTCTGTATTGCAATCCACCAAGTAGTTGTAAAGGGTGGGGAAACATGTCTTGTTAGATGCCTGCTGGATTGAACCAAAGGTCCATCTAGTCCAGCAACCTGTTTTCAACAGAGGCCATTCAGATGCTCCTGGGAAACCCATAAACCCCTTTTCCTTCTCTGGGGAATTAAAAATCATGCTGTGGGCCTGTTATCTCCTTTTACTTTGAGATGCTTAGCCTTCAACCCAACACAAGCGGCCTTGATGCCATCTGTCCATTTTGTTGTTGTTTATGAAATTAATTAGGCACATTTCTCAAGGAGGAGCCAGGAATACAAAAGACACAATCATTCATTAATGCAATACAGAAAACCTCACAACCCCATAAAAATCAATACAATCCAAGCCTGCAAAATAATCCAGTACCCAAAAACAAATTAAAAAATAGTAATTAATAAAACAGCAATAGATGGTTGGGAAGGTGTTATTGGTTGATCAATGGATCACTATAGTTTGAGAATTCCTAAAAGGGTTACTGAACCTGTTGCATTTAAAATGAGATACCTCTTTTATTTCAAGGAGGTAGAAAGATTGGCATAAGAAGTAGTGTGTGTGTGTGTGTGTGTGTGTGTGTGTTACTTACCCCATCACATTATTGAGAAGTGTGTGAACAGCATGATTAATTTGGGCTCTCTTTGTCTTTCGGTCTAGGTCTCTTCTCAGATCCCATATCCAGTAGCACTTCATGTAAATATTGTTAATGTTCCCCAGCCAGCTGCTGCAGCTATTCAGGTAGATAAATTTAAAAACCATTTCAGGGGTCCATTTGCCATACATTTCATATGCAAGTTACATGCAAATACCTTAACCTGCTAAAAAATAAAATCAGACAAAAGGCACAGCTCTTTTAACAAAGTAAATGATAGAGAAGCACCTGGGCAGCCATTTTTCCAGCAATTTGGGTGCCAGCCTTGAGAAGACACACACTCTCCTCACAGCTCCTTCGCTTCCTGGAGCAAATTCTCCCCCACCTTGGTGACTGAGCAGATTGTCATCATGGTTTTCAGCTTAGGGCTAAACATGGGGTTTCCCTTACTAAAAATGTGAAGGCCACAGATTGGTGTGGATTTCAGATCCTGGTTTTAGAGTAACCCCTGGTTAGCTTTCACCAGAGTCAACATTGCTGAAGGTGAACTTGCAGTTTAGGAGGAGAGGGTATCAATTGCTCCAGGAAAGGGAGTAAGGGCACACGTTCCTGAGACAGGCTTCCAGTTTTCTGACCACAGTTAGCGGCTACCCAGTGCTTTTGTTTGCACACTGGCAGAAAGAAGTTGTATCAGGGTGAGGAGGTCTACTCATTTCTTTAAAAAGGTGGCCAGGGAAAGTGATCTGGAATGGTTTCTTAGGTTCCCTAGTTTGGTACGCAGGAGGCATCCAGAAAATAGGTATTGTGTTCTGCACTTTAATACCTGTTCAAAAAAAATAAAATTAAGCAGAGATTCCGGGGTTTTTTGTCCAGTGGAGGAGCCTCTCAGGCTAATTTGCCTGCAATTCTGCAAGGCCGCAAGCCATCGTCAACATCGTAAACTGCAGCATCCAACCCGGCCTTTACCTTCTCTTTCCCCTTAACTCTTAATTGCAGAGACACTATAATGACGAAGACCCTGAGAAAGAAAAACGAATAAAGGAATTAGAGTTGCTACTAATGTCGACTGAGAATGAACTGAAAGGGCAACAGGCATTACCAGTAAGAATGTCACTGTGTGCTTGGACGGAGGGATAGCAGCTTTACCCCAGTGCTTCTCTTTCCCCCCTTTTCCCTCCCCCTCTTCTTCTGACACTAATCAAGGCTCTATATTTCCATTTGAAGAGGACGAGACATCGCTCTCCACCCCCCAATAAGCATTTGCTTCTCTCCACCCCCCACCCCCATCTCCAAATTATAGTGGTACACTTAATTCCACCATGTTTGCTTTTATGTGTAAATGGACTACTATTTAAAAAAGAACAGCAACGATCAGTTCCCGTCAGGTTTTATCCTGAGGGGACATCTTTGTTTCTGAGAACTTCTGAACACTGTGCATAATGAAAATGTAGTGCCTGGTTCTTGGTTTTCTTCTCTTTCTCTCTGCGCTGTATTCCTCACCTTCAGCTATATGTTGCACTCCTGGCCTGTGATCCTCAAGCCATTGCAGGCGGTCTTGCTCACCCTTTTGGGCAAATGTGGCACAAGTCAAGTCCAGAGTATGACACATACTGCTGCTCTAAAGAGTGCTACTTGTATGTATTCAGAACCTCACCCCTGCCCCAAAGCCTGGAGTGGCTTCCCCTCTAGCTAGCAAAATCTAGCTGCATGGAAGGGGGCAGGCAGAGTGTGTCTCTGCACTGGCCACACCGCTGGGCCTGTCTCCTCCATTCCAGAATGCCACAGAATCCTCCTCCCGGGGCCACTTGTGCCACATGCCCTGCAAGTTGAGAATACATAGTCTTGAATTGGCGTTGGGGAGACAGGACTATTGCTCCAGACCAAATGGTTTGGGAATCACAGCCCAAATAAGGTCCATTTTATTTGTTTTTATTTTTATGCATGTTTGGTAATGTTTCTCCGAGGAAAGTTAGATTCTATAACTGCATGTATGAAACCCAGAGCTGGCTATTACTGAATTTGTATATGTAATAAAATTAATACGGTAACTGCAGGAAAAAACAAAAACCTGGGTGATAGCCAGCAGGAAACATCTACGTCTAATTAATTCATATTAATAATTAATTCATTTTCTAGTTAATGGGGGGGGACACAACCGTGTGCATGAAATGTTAGTTTGGCCACTTCTAATTTTTAGTTGAAGTTTTGCAATGCCTTCTCTTGCATGGTTATGCTGCAAAGAGACTTCTGTTAATTTGCTCTTCTGCTTTCCTAACCGCGTTGATTTTACAGCCTTTTCATTGCATTGGTGTAAGCTGTAGCGCTAGTCAGAGATAGGGCAAAGATGAGGGAAGGTATATTAAAAATAAGTAACTGGTATTAATCTAAATCCGCAAAGACCAATGGAAAAGTTACCAGTGACTTCAAACGTGATGTGGAATTCACAATCTAAATCCATAAGGTACAGATAAGACAGAGTTTTGCACTAGGGAAATCTTGCAATTTCCTTACTTTGCACAGGGAAGGAAAAACAGATTTGTGTACTCAGACTTTGGAAGAAGAGTGTATGCATGTAGCTGTATTCCTTGTTATACTATAGATACTGGCCCAGGATGCAGAGTTGTTGCACAAGATGAGGTAATGCCAAAATGAAAGCTATAAATTTATTACCCTTTCAAACAAGCTCTTGCTGCACTGATGAAAGGAAACATCTTGACAACTGTTTCATAGGCATTAAGTGCTTAGATGATGCAACTACTTTTATCTTTTCCTTCAACAGCCATCCGATACCTTGTGCAATTTCTTTGCTAAGTTCCTTCTGCCTCTTTTTTTCTCGCACCCTCTTTACCGCCCCCCCCCTTCCCCTTTCCTTTAGACACAGAACCACACGTCAGATTACCCAGGATGGCACAGCACCGCAATTGCAGACAGTACCAGAACAAGTGGTAACAGTGCGCCCATTTCCTCTTTGGGGGAGCATCATCATTGTATTCCATCTCCACCAGTGGATCATGGCTGCTTGCCGGAAGAAAGTGCATCCCCTGCAAGGTGCATGATTGTTCACCAGAGTAACTTCCTGGATAATGTTAAGAATCTCTTAGAATTTGCGGAAACGCTTCAGCTGATAGATTCCGTAAGTAGAATGGTCATCTTCTAAGGTGTGGCTGGTATAAGGACTGGAGTCATATGCTATTTCTATATCAATTTGTTTTCTTACATTCTGTCTGTCTTCTTTGCTTTGTTGCTGAATAATCCGATATCCAAGGTAAACTTTCACCATGGCCACCTTTAGGACAGTTGGTTTTTGTTTTGTTTTTTGCTGCACATTTACAACTTACAACCCAGTCCTATGCAAGCTTACTTGGAAGTAAGTCTCATTTAAATAGATGGGCTCTTATTTCTGAATAAAAATGGTAGGATCCGAGCATTTAGCCCTAGCTTGTTGTTTGTGGGCTCCCAATATTTATCAAGCACAGGTAAACATTTGCACGTAACATGCATGTATAGAATCATTATTGTTAGTGTTTTCAGGTAGCTTGTATCAATTTATTCTAAGTGAGCTGGCATATCTAAAATTATTCCTAAATATGTTGTGCCTTTTAACAGTGAATTCATTCTGTACATTACAAAAAAAAAAGCACACAACTCTACGTATATTTTTAGTTCCATTTCAAGTGACTGTACACTTCTACATACCTTCCTGGATCCCTCCTTTTTTTGTGAAACACACATTGCATTAATGATTTTCTTCTACGGAAACTTCGAGAAATCACACGTCATTTTTGAAGATTCTAAGTCTTTCATGTAGAAATTCTAAGACTGACATAGGGCTCTTTAAGAAGTATGGGCTGAAACCAAACATTTGGCAAAACAAATTCCTTATGACAGCATCACCTACTCGACTGTATCCTTTTCACTTAAGAATCCTGCCTCCTTAATAAAGCAGATGGGTCACAGACTGTAACAGACTGGTAAGGGAGGGGGAGAGTTGCTTCTTTTAGGAATCCACCATTAGGATAGTTTTCATTCGGGAAAGACTGAAACTGCATCAAAATGGCTTAAAAATGAGGAACAATGGCTCATTTACTTTGTTTCTCTTTTATTAAAGTTGTTATGTTAGTGCTATACTTTTTTTAAAAAAAAATGAGAGGGCATCATACACTGTCTCATAGATTCGTGACTTCCCCCATTGTTTTTAGGATCCTTCATCATGGGGTGATCTCAGCAGTTTTGAATTCTCTGAAGAAGCAGACACCTCGCCTAGCCGAGCTCCCTCTGCCAAAGCCCCACAGCTTCAGCAAACAGAGGCCAGTGCATGTAGGCCTGAAGGACACCCTCTCTCAAACCTGAGCAAAGCCATGTTGAGTCAGGATTCCCTTGCCTTGCCCAAGTCCTTGGCTGGCTCAAAATGTGGCACAGCTCCGTTGGTGTTTCTGCGCACAAAGAGAGGGCATCCCAGCCACTTAGCCAGTGGCCATAAGTCCTTCATACTTGCTGATGTCAGGAGCTCAACTCCTAAGCGCTCCCCTGTCAAAAGCCTGCCATTCTCTCCCTCGCAGGTAGAGCAAGATTTCTGCACAGATTTTACTAATCCTCAAAAGTCAGCAAGGTGTTAACAACATAGGAGAACTAATCATTGGAACGAATGACTAATTCCTGCTGCACTCACTGATTGCTCTCCAATTTTGAATTTACTCATAGCTTACTCTTCACCATGGAGTTTAGACTGCCAACAATCTAACTGATAAATTTGCTTTTGTGTGTCTTATTCTTGGTGGTTTTCAAGGGGTTAGCGGTTTGTTTGCTTTGCTCTTGCTTGTCATTCCTTCAGCTATCAGAATTTAACATTTCTGTTTCCTGTAACCATTTTTTCTTACCCCATATTTTGCACATTTGGGTTCACTGACTCCCTAAATTTACACTAAACAGACAATGGTGTCCAAATTATGTTGCAAACTAACAAGTGATTTAAAATAAATGATTATTTGAAAACATTTTTGAACAGTAAGGTGTGAGTTACAAACTACTTGATATATTTAAGGTATATGCATCTCACTGAATGGGCTAAACAGATTAAGAGTATGTGAATTGGTTTAAGTGGCTTGTGGACTTCTGCTTAAACATGTAGAGTTTGAAACAACAACATGTTGAGTTAATGACAGTCATTACTGCTAATGAAGTTTATTTCCTAAATTCTGCAGTAGCAGCCCTTTTTCAACAAATTATATATTTACATCAAAATAGTAATTTTGAAAAGCTCTGCACAACTTTTACTTTCTGTTCTGTGAAAGTAAAACAATCAGTTTTAATGGCTAAAATAGGAACGTTTAATTTTTTTAAAAAATCTAGTTGCCATATTTCATGCTACAAGGTTCAGTGGGTGATATCTTTACTTATTTGGAGTGGACCCATTGAAATAATTGAAGTCAAGTCCATAGATTTCATTGGCTGTACTCTGCTCATGACCTAGGCAGACGTCACCCAGTACTTCTCATTAACCAAGCTCCAAGGTTCTTTCATATTATTAGACATTCTTTGCAAAGGCAAATAAACTCAGTGAGGTAAAACAAATACTTGTTTCTATAAATAATCTTGTAACAAAACCAAAGGAATATATTTGTGTAGGCCAAACACTAGAAATGTGAAACTTTACTTTGGGAGTATCGCAACCAAAATACTCACTGCCACACAACATGACGCTGCTGTTGATACAGTTTCACTGTAAGTTCGTGGAAGAAGCACTCCTGTTAACTGAGATGCCCTCTCTTTTTTAATATTTGCAGTTCTTGAACACCTCATCAAGCCAAGAAAGCCTGGACCTGGACAATCCAACTTTAACTTCCACTCCCCTCTGTGCTCATAAACTCACTGTTACAGCACCTCTTCACAGAGACCAAGCATTTAAGATACAGAAGGAGAATAATATGTAATTTCTCTTGCTTTATTTTATTTTTAAATGCACTTTTGCCATATTACTATAACAGCTAAAATTGGCTACGAACATGCATATTGATTTCTTTCACCCTGATCCAGAGTTTGTTGGGTTTTGGTTGGACACACAGAGCCAGCATGGTGTAGTGGTTAAGAGCGGTGGACTTGTAATCTGGTGAACCGGGTTCGATTCCCTGCTCCTCCACATGCAGCTGCTGGGTGACCTTGGGCTAGTCACACTTCTCTGAAGTCTCTCAGCCCCACTCACCTCACAGAGTGTTTGTTGTGGGGGAGGAAGGGAAAGGAGAATGTTAGCCGCTTTGAGACTCCTTTGGGTAGTGATAAAGCGGGATATCAAATCCAAACTCCTCCTCCTCCTTCTTCTTCTTTTTCTTCTTCTTCTCTGTAAGTAAGCATCCCATTCATTTTAGTGGAGGGCAGCTCAGCATTGTCCATTTGGAGCTGCTCCTTCCATTGACATGAATGAGGCCAGATGTGTAGGGTAGCTTTTGAACTAGTATGGTGGCCACCCGGTCAGTTGTTCCTACCATCTTATAGTGGAACTCCTTCTGGGCACATAGAACAAAAGCAAAGCCTGCTAGGTTAGGCCAGTGGCCCAGTATCTTGTTCAGTGGCCACCCATACTTGTGGGGAACCTACAAGTGGGACCTGAGCAGAAGACCTCTCTCTCCTGTAGTTTCCAGCAACGTGTTCATAAGAATTCTGCCTCCAGCTGTAGTACTGTTAGCCATATCATCCATGAATTTGTCCAGTCCTCTTTTAAAGCCAACCAAATGGCACTCTGCGTCCACCATCATTATTCCTAAGTGCTTGAAGAGGTTCGTGGACATTATTTCAGCAGTGCCCACAGCGCCCCTGAAATATATGCCCTCATTATTATCCCCATAGCACACATGGCTGTTTAGAACATAGAACTTTGCAGTACACAAGTCAACCTTTTAATGTGATGCTACTCTAAACTAGGATTTAAGCAAAAAGATTCAAACTACTTCCTAATTTCTCTCCCCCCCCCCCCTTTGTGGACTCAGCTTCAGAACTCCAGCTATCAAAAGATCAATATTGGAGAGCTCTCCAAGAACACCAACTCCATTTAAAAATGCACTCGCAGCTCAAGAATTCAAATATGGACCCTTGAAAATGCTGGTAAGAAGGGGGAAAAACCGTGATAAAAATTGGATTTTTATGAGAATGATACGAAGAGTTTTGTGTTGTTTCATTGCATACTTATTTTTCGTTTTTAGCCTCAGACACCAGCTCACCTTGTAGACGATCTGCAAGATGTTATCAAACAAGAGTCTGATGAAACTGACATTGCTTCTGGCATATGTGAAAATGGATCCCCTTTGTTGAAGAAAATCAAACAGGAGGCAAGTTAAACAATATTTATCTAAGACCACTTAAAACTGGGCTCACATTGCCCAGAAGTGTCTTCAATTGATTCACTTACTCTGGCAAGAAGCCAATTTTGCCATGTTTTAATTTTAAAGATCATCAGGAGCTGGATCAGATTGTTCAAATATTTCCTCAATCTTAAATTTTTGTAAGCAAACAGATTAGGTGAACCATAATATGTCACAGAAACAGTACAGTAAGCCTGCCACTTGCATGCATTTAACTTGTGCGCATTCAGCTTCATGCGCATGGCAAATAATAAAAAAGGGGGTGACTTTGGCCATCTATCCGCCATTGAACTTAATGGGTTTTGACTATACTCCATTTTGGTTTTGGGTGCGATCCCTTGAATGTAACACCTGCGTAAGTTGTGGGCCTACTGTCCTGTCATTTCTGTCTTTCAGAGAAGGCCATTTCTTCCACAGCAAAAAGTATACAATTGGTGCCTGATTTTTATATGTTGAGAATAGATTATCCTGGTCCTTACATACAACAAACTATGTCAAGCCTTGTAAACCACTAATTTCAAAAATCTCTGGCTTTAGTGGAATTCTCAGGAACAAGAAGGTTAATCAGTGAAGCCTTGCAAATCTTTTACATAATGTAAAAAGACTACAATTTTTCATTGATAGTCCCACTAAGAACTTAGTTGCAGTCTAGATTTCCAGGAGCTTAAATTATTGTTTAAATTGTTTTTTTAATTGAATTAATCCTGAATGTCAGAACTTAATGTTATGTCATACAGAGAGTGACTTTTCAAGAACTAATATACACTGACAAAACCAAATTGCTATGTAGGCCAACTTTATCTGGAAATAGCAATTACAGGTACTGCTTAATAGGGATAAAGTTAGTCAGTTGTTGATATTTGAAACATAGCTCTGCTTTCTGCTTATAGGTAGAGTCTCCAACAGGCAAGGCAGGAAACTTCTTTTCCTCAAACCATTGGGAAGGGGAAGGGCTGAACACACAGCTGTTCACACATGTGTCCACTGTGGAAGATGTGCCGGTATGTATTTAGCTATGAATCTTGCGTTGTTATTTTGTTTTTTTGTGACATGGCATATTTGGAAGCTGTGGTAAACAAGCAGATACAGCTCAGGAGCCACATCTGTCTCACCAAGATGTTTCCTCTGACCATGTCACCAGGCTGCTGTTGTGGGCTGACTTGCCTGCAAAATGGGTAATTCTGCAGGAAAGGGTTGGGAAACTTTTCCCAGAGAAAATGCCTTAGGTAGAGCCACTTGTTGCTAATACCTTATTCCCCCCCCCACCCCCTTCTGAAATTCAAGTACAGTTGTACCTCAGGTTAAGTACTTAATTCGTTCCGGAGGTCCGTTCTTAACTTGAAACTGTTCTTAACCTGAAGCACCACTTTAGTTAATGGGACCTTGCGCTGCCGCAGCACAATTTCTGTTCTCATTCTGAAGCAAAGTTCTTAACCTGCAGCACTATTTCTGGGTTAGCGGAGTCTGTAACCTGAAGCGTATGTAACCTGAGGTACCACTGTAGTAAAAAAAATGTACAGCCTACGATACGCACATGGAAATCTTCTTGTTTTTAACTAAAGGCATGTTTAATACTCCCATTATAATGAACAGGACACTAAAACGCTTAACTTTGGTTTGAAAATCATCATATATATGCACTTAATTTGGGCTGGATTGTGCCAAAACATTTTTCACCTTAAATTCACCAGTTTTTCATTATATTGTATATATAAAAGCACTGTGCTGGTACAGAGTGCACTTTAGGTTGTGTAAAAAGCTGAGCCAAAGTTCTGCTCATAATTGGATCGCTGAAGTGTTTGCTGAAGTCAGTGGAATCAGTGAAATGTTTACTTTCTTTGCCCAACACCCTTTGTAAATGGCATAATTTCATTTTTAATATAAATGGGATTAGAACAAAATATAGTCCAATTGCTCCATACTTGTACTTAAGCCGATTTACTGCTATTTAAATTTTATTTCTCACTGTTCCCTTAAAGTGACTGGTACCAGATTTAGCCTTGCATGTTTTCAGTTTTACTGGGCTGTGTGAGTCAGACTGCATGTTAATACTGTCAACTAAAGGACAAGGAAATTCCCACTTTAGTATGCATGTCATTCTGATCCTTTCAATGCAGTGTGCTGCTTAGCTGTTTACGTTAAGCTTAGCTTAAGTAGTTTGCTGAAAATAAACCTTACATCACTATGATTTCTCTTTTAAGAATCTGACAGCCCTATCCTATGCTTCTTTAATCAGAACTAAGTAAGTTCTGTGTGTGGAGAATATAGATATAGATAAATCACCTTTGTAGGATGAGTTAATAAAGAATTAGCTGGATCCCTAGATCCAAAGCACAGAACTAAACACACTCTCCAGCAAGAGAGAGCCTTAAAATCACAGAATCATGCAGCTCAGTGAAGTGTGAGGAATATAAGCTGTTATACCCCTTTCAATATCCTGCTTAGTCCTCTTACAGTGCTTCCCTTCTCTAACCCTCTCACAATGAACCGCCCACACTGGTAGTAAGTTTAAATGCTTTACTTACAAACTCCAAAGGTCAGATTATTGGATTACAAAATTATTGGATTACAAAATACAGAAAAATATTTCTGAGCACACAGTCTGGGCTCGAATTGGTCAAGTCTGGACCAACGTTGCCTGGTCAGCTTCACATGGTGGAAGAGACCAAACAAAGGAAGGGTCACTTCCTTCTTCACTGGAGGGAAGCATGACCTGAGTCTACGAATAGAGTTCTGTGGTCTCGATCCCTTGATGCGTTAACTAGCCCTAAGCTTGCCAGTTACATTTGACTACAATTTCCCACATTCTGCTGAGATGAAAGGGGCTTAATGCTCAACAAAGGCATGCAGTTTGGTGTTTCTGGAGGGTGAGATGTTCTCTGAAAACTCCCAGGCCATTATTTATCATTTCTGCCTGTTCACTGATACAGTACTTGTTGCCTCTCTCAGCAGCTGCTCCAAAACAACATTTCCCTTTTAACTGTCTCTTTTTCACGTTGTGTATGTAATGTCATGACTCGGTATAACCAATCAGACTTGGTTATATGACCTCACCACAATTGCCAATTCAGAAATGCACACAGAACAAAATCACATTGGAACTTCCTTCCAAGTGATTGTTCTAGGATCAGGCTGTGACAATGCATAGCAACATCTTGTACCCAAGTTACTGTTTTAAATGAATGCAATGAAATCATTGAAATAATGTATTCAGCATATTCATTCATTCTTCCTTTTCAATTACCTCTATTTTTTTTTACTGTTTCATCAGAATCTACTTACCAGTTCTGGTTTAAAGATGCCTGCATCAGAAGAAGAGGACAATACTCATAAATTATTTGCATTACAGAGAAATAGGTCATCAGTTAGCCCACTTCAGGTAAAATTCGCCTTTAAAAATTATTTGCAGTATACGATGATGCCTTGCACAATAATAGTACATATTTCTAGATTACTATTGGATGCAGTATTGTTTGCTGACTATAAAATTCAATGAAAAAAGCTGTAAGAAAAGCAGAAGAGATGACCTGACATTTTGGTACGCTGGTTCAAAGGTGGCATTCTTTTTTCCGGCAACCTGGAAAAAATGGTTTGTCAAAATGTAAACAGAATGGAAGACACAAATGTTATTCCCTCCTATTGCCATTACAGACTTTATTTTTGTAGCGGTGAAGCATGTTCTTTTACATACTGGTTTCCTTGGACTGGTCATTTTAATTGGCTATCGTAAGTATGGATTTCAGCAAAGTTCCACAAGGCAGTTCAATGGAAAGTAAAGATTTTGACAGAAGGGCAGGAAGGAAAAGTTGCCAAGCCTAGAGAAGGGCCTTGATTTCAATGGTAGGACCTTTATGTGCATTGCATGCAGAAGATCCCAAGTTCAGACCCCTTTATCTCCCATGACAAAGGTGGGATAAGGCTGGGAAAGGCATCTCTCTGAAACCTTGGAGAGCCATTGCAGAATAGACAAAACAGCTAGAAGGTTCAATGGTCTGGCCTAGTGTAAGGTTGTTTCCTGTGTTTAGCAATGAAGAAGGTAAGGGTAGTTACTAAGAACCTAAAGAGAACCTAAATAGAGCCCTGCTGGATTATGCTGAAGATTCTCCTTGGCCTGCATTCTGTTCCCAGTCGTGGCGAACCAAAAACCCATGGGAAGCCCTCAAGCAGAGAGCAAAAGTTTACCAGGCCTCTCCAGCTATTGTTTCCCAGTAAAAGTGCACTTGAGGGAGATCAGTTTCTTGGGTTTACGACATTATCTATGAAATAATGGAGGACAGCTCCACACACCAGGAAAAAACACACCACAGTAGTGAATATGTGACTTGCAGACATACAGCATGGTATCTTTCCACTGTCTTGTGAAGCTGCAAAGATAAATAGTACAGCAGTTGCTCATATGGTAACAATCCCCTTCTGGACAAGAGCATTAGAGCATCTACTTCTATAGAGCTGAGCCAACAAAATATTTAAAATCTTTTATTACTCCTTAAGCAAATAGCATTTGCTCTGAGTAAATGAAGTAGAATTGGCTTATTACCTTAACTAGAATTTTGCATTCGACTTTTATTACCACAGAATTGATAAATGGCTGGTGAATGAGCTTTCTCCCTGTTCCAGTCATGAACCTTGGGGTTGTCACTTTTCAAAAGTTGTTCTGATCCTTAGATGTGCAAACTCAGTAAAAGATTGTGTGTACACTGGGAGAAGTCACCTTCCCTCCTACTCAAAGAGGCAATCAGAGATTGTCATTCAGGAGGCAAGAGCAGAGGAAGAGCATAAGAACACTTTGTCATTCTCATTCTGTAGGTTTATCCTCCCATTTGCTCCAGTAGGCCCATTCAAATTAACCTTGTAACAGCAAACTGGGGGGTATTCTGACCATATGACTGTGTGGTCTGCTCCAACATCGCTATGCTGAACGATAATGCTTGCTAGCTTTGAGTTCCCGGTTGTGTCTGTTGCCTTTAGGATGCTCTTTGTGCAGGGGTCATTTTGACATCAAAGTAATCATATTGTGGTGTGTGGTGGGATTTTTCCCTGGGTAAAGCTTCCATGAAACTACAGATCATTTTTTCCCACCTAAAACTTGGAAATATTGCTGCAGAACAAGCCCTGAGTTAATAAATGGATTGCAGGCTGTGGCCCCTTAAAAATTACTGAGGAGAAAGGATAGCTATCAGACTCACTATGAATACAACCCTGAACGTTTGTTAGTAGCCTTGCTGTTGACTTCAGGAAGCCTAGTCGGCAACCATTTTGTTTTCAGAAGAGTGCTTCATTGTAAAACAATCAGGTCAGTGTTCTGCTCATTTGCATCTGCTCAAGTACAGAGTGGCTGAAGACAATGCACTAATCACAGCAGACTTCAGTGAACCAAATGTTTATGTTGGCCTGAGGTAAAATCCAACTCCAATTAAAAAGTGATTCCTAAATTTCAATCCAAGTGGAAACCACCATTTTGAATGGGGAATTCACAACCATTGGTATAAATTGTATAATATGTGAGCTTTTTGTTTGGGATTCAGAAACCAAACCTTCACCTTTACGCACTTTGCTATTATAAAGGGGGAAGGTGTCCTTTTTTAAAAAAAATGGCAATCCCACCTACCAAATATGTTTTGACTGTATGTGATTTTGGCTTGAGGCATGACCCCCCAGAATATAGTGCGTGCACCCCAGTCACTTGAGAGTTCACTATATTACTTATTCCCACTTTTCTTCCCTTGAATGCTTCCTACTTACAAGAAAGCATAATGTGTGAATCAGTCTTTACAGTGTGTGAGTGAAGGAAAACACCTTGGCACAGCCTTGCCTTGTTTCTCTCTTTTCCCTAGAGGGGTCACTTTCCTTTAAAGTGCTTTAACTGGATAGCCCAGTTAAAGCTTTGACAATCTGTTTACTGTTCACTCTTCCCTGGGGCAACAGAAGGCAGGTTACAGGATAAGTGAGATAATTGCCTTGCTAGAAGAAGGATGTTCTAGTAGGATTACTGATGTGGCAAAATGAACCAAGAGTGACACAGCTGAAAATACACCATGGCTTGATAATTATATATCAACGTGGCATAAACATACTGTATGGAAGTTGCCTTTCTTACCCACAATTTTAACTTTTGAAGTAGCTTTGGAAACTGTTAACTTTTAAAATCTGATGTGAAAGAACAAATTGATTGCTTTAGCAATATTTGCAGTGGATTAGTACCTAACATAACAGACTCATATAATCCAGAGACCTGATCCGAAATATGTAGCTAGCTAATTATTTTTTCCTGGTTTGGGGCTAAATTGCCTTTAATATAGCACTCAGAGGCCGCTGGCACAAGCTAGCAAAAAGTAGCCATATATATAACCAATGGAACAGGAGTCACATGGCAAGCATTGTTGGGTTGTACATTGGTGTTTCGTGCAGCACTCTCTCACGGATGGTAATGAGAAATTTTTCCTGTGGCAGCTTGTGAGAGGTACAGCATGTGCGAAGTGGCCATTGCTGATGAGTGGAGCATCTTGAGGGGGAGGCAGAGGTGCAACTGGGTTATTAACACCCACAAAAGTGCTTGCAAGGGGATGAGATGCATTGGAAGATGATGATGATGATGCTGAGCACCAGCCTTACACACCCCTGTCCAGAAATGTGTGCCTGTTTTGTGTTTCCATACCAAGTATGGAAGTGGAGCTTTTTCATTTCTGAAAACTTTCGTGTATGTCTGTGAAACCACCTTCTAAAACTGGCAGACCAAAGGTCTGGGCAATGCTCCCCCCCCATAGCAATGTTCTTTTATGGCACTAGAGGTGCCATTTGGGCCTATGTGTGTTGGATTTGATGCATGTAACCCTGTTCAAATACAAGCTGATGCACCAAGGGTGTTGGAAGTAGGAGAGGTGCTCTCAGGCAGATTGGAAAGGGATTATCTCCCTCCACCGCTACGCACAGTGACCGTGTAAGGGAGAGCACCATCCAGAGTATTTTCAGAGGTGACTGCCCAGCCTTTGTTTACACACAGAGAGAGAATTGTGGTAAACCATAGGGTGTGACTGTCTCTGGTTACTATCAGGTCACTGTATGCTTTCAATGAATTCTGATCCCTACCCACTTCTGCATGTTTAAGATAATGGAAGTGAGTTACTGTTCATATGGTCCCTTATCATGAGAAGAAGCAGCAGCCACACAAGAGCATCTGCCTATCACTTTCTGTTTTACTTCAGAATATAATTTATTTATTTTATATAAACAATTTCCACCTTCCACCAGAAGAATGGACCCAATACAGGCTGCAGAGCACATACACTACATGAAAAACAGTCAAACTAAAACTGTCAAAACATTCCAGAGAATAATGTATTCCTAACACACTCATTAACTGCAAGAAAATCAAACCTATACATTCTTAAGGAAATCAGCCCTGAGTGCTCACTGGAAGGAAAGATCGTGAAGCTGAGGCTCCAATACTTTGGCCACCTCACGAGAAGAGAAGACTCCCTGGAAAAGACGCTGATGTTGGGAAAGATGGAGGGCTCAAGGAGAAGGGCAAGACAGGATGAGATGGTTGGACAGTGTTCTCGAAGCTACTAACATGAGTTTGTCCAAACTGCGGGAGGCAGTGGAAGACAGGAGTGCGTGGCATGCTCTGATCCATGGGGTCACGAAGAGTCGGACACGACTAAAAGACTAAACAACAACAAAGAGAACAATTAAAGAGTTGCAAAGAACCCATAGTGTAAGGCAAACGATGCCATTCCCTTTCACAGAGCTTAAGCGATTCAGATATCCCCATGCCTAACCTAGACACCCTTCAGCAGTAAGATCCATTTTTGCCTATGTACGCTTCTACAAAAATACCTCCATCATTCCAGCAGTGGTTGCTTTCTTCCCTGAGTGGATCTGAATTGTTGAGCTTACAACAAAGACTGAAATTAGCCAAGGCATGCCAAGTTCCCCAAAGGGGTGGAGATTGTTCACTGAAATCATAGCAGAGGAAACAGCAGCAGTGTGGTGGCATATCTGTAATGTGAAAAGTATGTCACACCTGCCCTTGGCTGCGGTTTGAAGAGACAGAGGCCCATGTTGCAGAGAAAGCAAAATAAACAGGGTGCCCTGTGTCACACTTTTATGAACTGCTTGAATACCAAAGTGTGTATCACGTGGAAATGCAACAGGTGGATTAATAAATGGATGACCTGGTCTAGCAAGGATCTTATGACGTTCTTATGCTCACAGAAGCTCTTCAAAGAGACAAGGGATTTCGAACAGTTCTTCCCACCCACCCCATTCCTCTTCCACAAAGATCTTGTCCTTTGTTCCTTCCCTGCTGTCGTGTAAATTACCACCCTGAGAATTGTGATCTGACATAAGTGTGCTTAGAATTTTGAAAGAGATTGAGTGTTGTGTTGTGTGGTATTTTATACATTGCTGCATCAAAACTGCAAGTTCTGGTAGGAATATAGTACATAAAGGGGGGGGTGAGGTGGAGAAGAAGAAATATATATCTGTATTTACACATTCCATAGAGTGCTGAAATTTTTGCCCTCCTATTGGCTTGGGGCACCAAGACATTTTGCATGTCTCAAGAACAAGCAAATGACTGAGATGCCACCCTGGTTACAGATATGTTTATCTCCGGGCAGCACAGCAGTGAGGAGGCGTTCCAATCTTTGTAAATACCACAAAAACAAACGATATTAAATTATGGCTAAAAAACTTGTTTCTCTCAGCAGACTGGTTTCCATCCCCACCCCCCAGGTACCTTTCACAGTGGGACATTTACCTCTGGCTATGTGCTAACATAATTTTGAAGTTACCTGAAAAAAACCTGAGCTAGTTATTAACTTGAGTCCAGAGCTGTCTGTGTGAACCCTCACTTTGGACTAGGCTATGCAAGTTGGGCACAGTCACCGTGCTTTCAGCCCACAAGTTCAGCAACTGTCTACTAGGGAACTTGTGGCCCTCCAGATGTTCTAGGAATTCATCTCCCACCAGCCCTAAGCAGCATAGCCCAATGGCCAGCATTGCTATGAATGCTGTAGGCAAGCAACAAAAGTCGGCTCTGGTTCTACATCATGCAAGAGCAACTTGCCTTGTGGGGCAGAGCCAGGCAACAACCCCTTAACAACAATGTCCATGCTGCTTACTGGGTGAGAGGCCAGTGAGGTTGCAGGTGGAGCCAATCTGGCAGTCCTGCTAGTGTACCCAAACAGCCCCAGCCTCACTGCCGCCCTCTTCTCCTCCTGGTAAGCAGCCATGCCACTGCCAGGAGGCTATTTCTATGGCTCTGCTCCACTGGGGTGGGCTGTTCCTGACATGGTACTTGCTGCCAGCTAAACCCCTTTTAACATGCTTCCGAAAGCCTATCGCTGTTGGGTTGCTTGAAAATATTTTTAGCATCATTCCTTCATTCCCTTCGTAAGCCTATTTACATCTCAGGGGCTCTCAGAAACACTAGGATTGGCTTCAGCACAACATTCCTAGACGTTGCTTCCAGTGGCAAGTCTGTCAAACCCATTTGTAGACTAACACTGTGTAGCTACCAAAATTTTCAAAGCACCACTCCCAAAAAAGAATCGTGGCAATGGTGCTTTCCTGAGGGTCCTGAGAATTGTAACTCTGTAAGGGGATAAACTGCAGTTCCTGGGTTTCGGGGGGGGGGTATGCACTTTGAATGTGCTTTAAAGGTATTGTGTGTGTGCAGTCCCCATGACTTAAGTCATCTGTAATGCCACGCTTTCAGATGACTCGAGCACAGAGGACAATTCTGCAACACCAATCCTGGGAAGGTGAGATTTACAGGAAGGACTGGCTTGTGCCACAGCTTCTAAAAAAAATTCTTCCTTTTTATTTTTGTTTCTAGCATTTTAGCAACACATGGGATTCAGCATTTTGTGGGAAGACAGAGGATCAGCTGAGCTTCTCGGATCCTGCACGCAAGCATATGAACGCATTCTCGACTCGAACTCTGGTCATGTGAAAAAGAGTCTTCCAATAAGCATTATGTTTTCTTTTCAAAACACTTTCCCACTTGATTTGGACTTACCGTTCCTCTACATGGGAGAAAAACCTTTTTCGTTGTTGTTGTTGTTGTTGTTGTTGTTGTGGTACAACATTTGGGAGCAGCACAAAGTGCATTCAGTCACAAAAGCATCTATGTGTATATATTGTTCATGTTGGATCTCACCCAACTTAAAAAAAGAAAAGGAAGAAAATAATTCTGTTTGTTGATGATGCTTACCTAAACTCTTAGGTATTGGATTTTATGCAATTAATTATTAATAATGTGAATGCCGATTTCTTTCTTTTTTAAAAAGTGATTTTTAAATGATTTTATATATATATATATTAAAAAAAAAACTTTTTGGGAGATCAAATGGACCAGTATTAATTCAGTGAGGAGTTGCCACATGAGTTCCCATACCAGTGAGGATGCTTGCTGAGGTTTCCTTTTTTCTTTGAGGAGCTGGCACTCCATCAGTAGCACCAGTCACTGAACAAATGTCTCGGTATGAAATACTGCAAGAAAAGCATTACTGCAAATGCTGATCTAAAGGTGTAGGCTGGGGGCCAATCCAGACTGGCAATGGTCACACAGCTATACTGTTTGAAGAACTGTTCCACTCATTAGAACTGTAGACTGTTTACGTGTGTATGTTGTTGTTTTTTAATTAGCTTGCTTTTAAAAAAATTATTACGGTATGAAACATAGTTTTATGAGAACAAATTATATTTTTTATCCAGTAATTTAATTTTGTAAATGTCAAATGGGTTTTGTTCTATTTTTGGTTTGGTTGGTTTTTGTTTTGCGGGGGGGGGGGTTGATTTTTTTCTGGTGAAGATTTACACCATGTAGATGGGCAAGGCCATAGAGCTTTATAAACGAAAGAGAAACCTGAGGTGGGGGGGTAGCTAACTTAACTATGCACTAGCATTTCTGACTTTGGAAACATTACTGCTTTTTAACCCCCTACCTGGCCCTCCCTTTTTTTTTTTTTTTTTGCAAGCAATACTTTAAAACACTGTTCTTGGGAGATTTTATGTGCCTATATGTGTGCTCATGGGTTTGCAACAACATAGAATGCAAACTCCAGCTATTTGGGAGATCCTAGTCTTGCTTGCTGCTTCTACTCTTGTTTCACGTGTAGTCTAAATAGTCCCTAACATGGATTCCATACACAAAAACATTTTTTTTAAAAAAAATGTATGTCTTTTGGACTGCCATATCAAACTATTCCCAGTACTAAGAGAAGGTTGCTTCTTTTTCTTATAATGGATTCTGAATTTGCTGCCTTAATAGAATTAGGTGCAGCTTTTCCTGCACTTAACTTTTTATAAGACACTGTACTTACTGCCTTGTAGATAAATAAAGCGTGCCGTTTTGTAAAAACCTATTGTTTGTTTAAATGCACTTGAGTTTTAGCATACCGTATTTGGGGGAGAGAAGTGGGGGGAAAGTAATCTTGCCGCATCCGTCTGTTCATTGAGCAGATCTTGCAAAATAACAAGACGCCCTTCTACCCAGAACTCAAAACATTGGGAACCCATAGAACCGTATCAAGGCTTCAAATTGCCCATCAAGTTGGGACAGAAGAGTTCTACAATGGATATTTGAGTTAGATCTTGTTGTTTAAATAAATTATTCTATACCATTCAGAACATCGTATATACTCGAGTATAAGCCAACTCTAATATAAGCCAAGGCACCTAACTTTACCACAAAAAACTAGGAAAACTTACTGACTCGAGTATAAGCCGGTTCACCACACCACAAACCTCCTAGTGGGCTGGAGTGTGCGTGCGTGCATGCGCATACGGCAGAGGGGGCTTGTCTCCCCCCCCCGCCCCTTCTGCCCCCCTGCCTACCTAGGGTGCTGCCAAGAGGCAGAGGCTGGTGGCGGCAGCGGCGGAGGAAGAACAAGCAGCCCAGAAGGGTTGCTTTCGGGCTGCTCGTTCTGCCGACAGCAGCAAAGGCAGAAGAGGAGGAAGGAGCAGCCTGAAAGGGCTGCTTTCGGGCTGCTCGTTCCTCCTCCTCTGCCGCTGGAAATGCGCTTGTGTGAGACCCTCAAGTATAAGCCAAGGGGGGCTTTTTCAGCATAAAAAATGCTGGAAATGTTGGCTTATACATAAGTATATACGGTATTTCCATTCAGTGTGGGTATGTCTGTGTGTAGAACAGGATGGGGCTCATATAGTGCAGAACAACAAAATATGGCTTGGTGCCTGAGTCCTTGCATCTTTCCAGGTTTCAGGTTCTGCTGGGAGGAACTTCTGCTTGCATGCTAGCGATTCATTTTCCTGAATAATTAAAAATGCATTTTGAATGGAATGTGCTTATCCTAGTTCAAAAATGGCTACCAGTATACACTCAGGTGCAGAAGGCCCATGTGTGTATTTTGCACAACGTTTTAAACAAAAGTCCAGTCAGCATCTCAACACAAGAGTGTAACAAGGAAAAATCGACTCAAGTGCGCTTCATGGTATATTTTGTAGTTGGGCCTGTATACCTCCCCCACTATTGAGTAGCTTCTGTTTGCCCCCAGGCCAAAGAATACAAATAAATAAATAAAATGAAAGCCAAATGGTGATACAAGCTGCAATTTGAACCTCGAAATTGCTTCTTTTCTCATATGGCTCAACTTTTAATTGAAGTCAAGTTTGAGGTGCCTCATGACCAGCATATTGGCATGTCATAATCTTCTGAACAGCCAAGGATATATCCCGTACTTTGAAATAAAGTTATCACCTGCCATATGACACTGCTGCTGTCCTCACTATTTTTTTTTTTAAAAGCCCTTTCATGGCACAAAACACTGTAATAATATATATCCTCACAACATCCCTGGGAGGGAAATCATTTCACAAGCAAGGCATTGGAGGTGGACAGGCATGCTCATCAAAACCCCAAGGCTCTACCCCCACCCAAAAATGGTGAGGGGGGACACAATTTAAAGGTGAGAAGTGGACCTTTCTCACCCTCAATGGACCTTTACAACCCTTCCATGGGTGCCTCCCCATCCCTCACCTCCAAAATCACCTCATCATGCCCCAACATGGCAATAATCGGGGTTATAAAATAAGCTATGCTAAAAGAGGTTTGTTTGGTCAGTCAGTTTTTTGTTTGTAAGCCAGTCGTGGGAAGGGGGGTGCCATGGGTTGTCACAGATACAAAGTCTCCCTCATTTTCTTGACGACGTTTACCATGCTTCCTCACTATTTCAGTTTGTTGATTTCCTTTTCTATTTCACACCCAGCATCAACCTGTCCTCACTTTCATGGCTTTGCCCAACTTCCTCCTTTGACCTGAGGGGCACTCCAAGGGGGTGCTGCTTCATCTTTCCCACTTTGAGGCACTGCAACACCCTGTTCAGGGGGGTTGCTTTTAACAGCTTCTCAGAAGTCCCTGTTCCAAAATGCCACAAAAGCATGGGCACAGCTGCCCACCCTCGTAGTCTGGTGAACCGGGTTCGCTTCCCCGCTCCTCCACATGCAGCTGCTGGGTGACCTTTGGCCAGTCACACTTCTTTGAAGTCTCTCAGCCCCACTCACCTCACAGAGTGTTTGTTGTGGGGGAGGAAGGGAAAGGAGAATGTTAGCTGTTTAGAGGGTCCTTTGGGTAGTGATAAAGCGGGATATCAAATCCAAACTCCTAAATCAATAAAAATACATAGCTAACAGGTTCTGCCCTCCCCAACAGAAGGCCTGCTGCCACTAACAAAAGTCCTGGCTGCTGTTTTTGTCTTCCAATATGCTTTGGGCCTGACAGGGTGCTTTGAGGCGGCTCCTGCCAACTCCCAAAGAGAAAGAAGCCCTCACGGAGACCTTTTGTTTGAAAAGAACATGGAGGCCAGGCATCGCTCGCTGATTGACTTGCAGGTAGCGATGGAAGTTTCTCATTTTTCTAATCTTAAGTTTTCCACATTTTCACACCAGTTCATTGTTGTTGTTTTTCAGAAGGGGGAGGGGAGTCTATGTGGAAATTTATCAGTATTTGAGTACAAATTTCTCCCAAGACACATTTTTAAGAGCAATTTCCCCAATGCAATTCATTTTTTTATTATGCTTCCACTAACATATATATTTTAATGCACACTTTACCTCAGAATATGCATTTTTTTACACATCTCAGCTTGAGAGCTGCATTGCAAAATCCAGAGAACTGCACATTTTCAAAGATGACCATGTTTTTGTTTTGTTAGGGTGGTTCACTTTTAAATGAGAAATGAATATACAATACAAATCAGCACACATCTCACCTACCCCAAAGCCAGCAACATAAAATCAATATAAAGCTATCATAAGAATTTGCAAATGGAAAAGATATTTGGTGCAAGTCTTTTCAGAACAGCAAGAATGCATACCTGTCATAAGTTGAAAGGTTTGGAGAAGTGAAAAATGCCTTCACTGGCACCTAAAAATTCATAACATAAGCACCCGTCAAGTCTATGAGGAAGCTATTCCAGAAATTACTCCAGTCATAATATGGTTCGATGCCAAACAAATTGTCGAAGAAACAAACCTGTATTATTTAATTAGTACAGTGGTACCTCGCAAGACGAATGCCTCGCAAGACAAAAAACTCGCTAGATGAAAGGGTTTTTTGTTTTTTGAGCTGCTTCGCAAGACGATTTTCCCTATGGGCTTGCTTCGCAAGACGGAAACGTCTTGCAAGTTTGTTTCCTTTTCCTTAACACCTTTAATACAGTTGCGACTTGACTTCGAGGAGCAACTCATAGAACGCAGCGTGGTAGCCTTTTTTGAGGTTTTTAAAGACTTTGGTGATTTTTGAAGCTTTTCCAAAACTTTCCCGACACCGTGCTTCGCAAGACGAAAAAAATCGCAAGACGACAAAACTCGCGGAACGAATTAATTTCGTCTTGTGAGGCACCACTGTACAAGCAATATATTGTACATATCAAATATAGAGAAGCTATAATTAGGGAAACAGTTCCATAAATAAAAGTAAAAGAATGTAGACAAAATATTAGGAAGAACTTGATGAAGTTTGAGCCATCAGTTGATAGAACAGAAGGAAATGGACATTTTTTCACTGAAGCAGAGGCTGGTGGGAAGGTTGCATTCAGCTGTTTTACTCAGAGTAGATCCACAGAAATTAATGAACATGACCAAGCTAGGTCAATTAATTTTTATAAGTCTACTCTGGATAAAATTTAGCTCCTGGATGGCAAACTTCAATGGGCTTCCTGCATTGGGAGAGGGATGGGCTCAGAACCGTTGAGGTCCTTTTCAACTCTATAATTGTAAAGGTAGTGTCTCCCCTTCACAGTAACTCTGGCACAGTCAGCTTGGTATTTACAGTATTTATTACATATGTACAAGAAACAGCTACAGTTCAGAATTATGCATCCGAACCCGTTGAGTCAGATTCAGGTAGTGGCTTCCTTCAATTCCCGCGTTAATAAAGTAGGCATGGAAATCGCACAAGACGTCTTTGATCCTTACGTTTCATTTCCCTCCTTGTCTGTGCTGATGTGAAAGCAACCTCCCTTCCAGAGTCTGAGCTCCCTTCCAGAGCCTCTGGGTGATTGAAGAGCTCCACAGCATCCCCGAGCCCCTGCTCTGCCTCTTCCGTCACTTGCTCCTCTGGATTCTCCCTGACAATAATTCTACATAAGGGCATTGTTAGAGAGGGGCCCATGCCCCTGGTCTTTTGGACTGGGCCCCATATCTCATGTCTCATCATATATATAAATAATCTACAGACATACACACTTGCAGAGCTGATGCATTTGTCATGCAGATTTGTTTCATAGTCATGTGCCCTCTTTTAAATACTTATAAATGTCCCTGATTCTATGACTGGGCTGGTCCAGCAGTGGCCCTGGCAGTCAACAATCTACTAGATTAATGGTCTTCAACAGGTGAGCCAGGACCCACTACTAAGTTGCAACATGACCTAAGGTGGGTCACAACAGCCCTAAAGACATGGTAAAAAAGAGAAGTGGGTGTCCAAATGCACATTTGGGTTAAAGGTGGTCCTGGGTCTGCAAAGGTTGAAGATAACTTTAAACTACAACAGCAACCCAATAGGTGTGCAGGATACATCGCAGGACTTCTGCAGATCATATACAGGTCCATTGTACAACAGTTCCTGTCAAATTCACAACCGCAAAACTACACAAAGCAATAAAGTTAAGTTAACATAAATAGTAAAGGAGGTACTTGGTGTCTTAATTCATGATAAATCACCCAGGTGGTTTCATGTTAGCTTTTCTGGATCTGTGCCTACGGAGAATGATGGTGTGTGCGAAGTGTGATGTCACTACTTTCCGTATATATGTATGGTGATTAATCTTCATCAGGCATGCTTTTACAGAGCTCCCAGTGAAGCAATGCTCTCAACATTACATCAGTAATTTTTAATCCTGATTGT